ACCAGCCATCAATTAACTTTGTTATAATATAGTGATAAATTCTGATTGTAGTGATCAGAAAATGATTGAAACTTGCATTGTTCTTAAACAAGGAAGAACCCATATAAGAATAAAAAAAGTCTTATAAAGTTAAAACATAATTTTCTTAAATCAGTATGAAGTGGAAATGTGATGGATTAAATTTGCTCTGACATTAATTTCGAGATAAATTCTGCTAGTAGTGGTCGGGAAATGATTGCAAAAATACTACTGAAGTGCAGCATAAAACTTCAGTTTAAATTTCAGTACTTTAGATATTCGCAAAATGGCCAAAATTTTTTTATTGACGATAAATTACCTTTAGCAATAAGATGGTAAATATTATGCTAGTAGCGTTAGGGAAATTTTTGGATGTTGTATTGTCTTGAAGAGCAGATCTTCAGAACAATTTTGATTTCTCTAGCTAATCGGAAAGTAGTCAAAAGTTTGGCTTCAAAATTCCATCGAGTTATTAAAAAAAACCTGTTTTATAAAATTTTTATTAAGATAAAAGTATTTATTTAAGTATGAAAAATATATTCATAAGAATACTCAATACGAACATTTACTAATCTAATTTTCCGCACAATAATTTACTCTATTAATTAAAATACTATATAACTGAGTTCATTAACATATTTTTAACTCAAACACTTTTTATTTTATTTTATAACCGTCGTTGAATAACCGACCCAATTTAGTGTTTACGGCTACTAATGCTCGCCTCCATAGCCTTGTATTGAATCCTTGAATCCAATCCAGAAGACAAGAGAACTTCAGGATCAAATATAGGGAGAAATCTGTGGAACTGGAGGACTTTTTGATGTAACTTACCCGCATTTGTGTTGCATGAAGAGGACAACCATGAAAACCTCCAACCGTTAGCTTGATGGCAAGGGGATTCTGATCCATGATCCGCCTTCCACTGATCCGCCATAGTAGCTTCACTGCACAGGACTTTATGTGACGAGACTAATCTAAATTGCGAAAAAGAATCAAAATTTTTTATTTAGCAAATTTATTAAAATGTTTTAAATTTCAGAGTTTCAGTTCATCAGAATGTGCTAGATTTTATTGATAGATCTAAATAAATGAATGTGCTTACTGATTTTAATTTGGACTTTTTACTGTTTATTTTCCCCTCCATTTTGGTACCTTCAATCCATCATTATGTTCATTAATTGGTAATATCCCTCCTTATATCATTTTTTCATACCTCCTTCCATTGCCTTCTTGGAGGACTGTTTGATGGAACTATCCCGTATGTGAGTTCCCTGGAGAGGAAGACCATGAGAACATCCCACGATTAGCCTGACAACAAGGGGTCTCTAACCCATGATCCGTCTACCACTGAGGTTTTTTTACGTCAGCAGCGTGGTGTCGGTGCTTACCGGGTGTGTTATTAATGTAACTGTAAAATTAAAGTAACTATAATTAAAGTAAAAAAAAAATTAAAATAACTATAAAATTACTATGCAAACAAAATGTTCCAAACACGGAGAAGGAAAGTTAAATTGGTGAAAATCGTCCTTAAGTGTGCTAATCCAGTCACTATATTTTTTTTTCGCAACACAAATGCTTCGGACAATTTTGAATCTATTGTCAAAACTTTTTAACTAAAGTTAGATCGAAAAACTCCATATTTACTATGAGTTATAGTAGTAGCCGAATAATTCATTTGGTATAACTCCGACGTTTTGTCAAAAAATATTTTAAAATGAATATTTAAATGTAACAACACGGCTTAAACATATATATATCGAAAAGAGAAAGAATGGTACTTATAAGAGCATGAAATGAATGTGCAAATGTAGTCAATAAGCATAATTTTAAATTTTTTTAGAACATTCTTTACAAACTTTCATAATGAAGAACATCACGCTGTCAATGTAGGCAATAAGATGTTTCTGTTTTCTGAGCATGGAGCCTAGTAGAAATTATGGAAATTCGTAAAGTATACATGAGTAAACAATGCTAAGGAACAGCTTGATCTTAAATTGCGATCTCTTGTAAAACGTATTTTTATCCCTATTTTCTCCAGCATCTATACCATTGTGTTATTACTTTTTAGTAAATTATTTGTCATATTTGATCATGTTTTAGAGTCTTTAAATTAAATAATACCATTTCCGTTATTTTTATATTTAGATGAAAAAATTGTTAGTTATAATTAATTAAACGGAACGTAAAAGTTTCTGAGTTGCCTCGATTATCAAAATTTCGATTTAGGTAGACGATTGCGTATATTTTACCAAGTCTCAATAACAATAAACATAGTTTTCTTTTTTCTTTTAATACACTGAATTTTTTTCCGATATCTTAAATGAAAAATATTTTTGCGTAATTTATTAAGCTTTATCTTATTAAGAACCAACAATCGATTTCATTTGCATTTAGATAAGACATATAAATCATAAATACTAATTTAAATAAGGGTTCTCTTTTTCAATTAAATTTTTTTATCTCAAGTTTTCAGTCCTTTTTATCAGATGAATATTAAAGAAAAATATTAATGGAATTTTAATCTGAAAATGCAATATTAATAGTATATTTTATCATGAATATAAACACAGAGTTGAACTATTATTAAATCTTTAATAACTGCGTTTGCTTAAAAATTGTTTTTCAGATGGAATTTCCCCCCTTTTTTTATTGAGCTTTTAGTTTAGTTTAGTAACACAATTTATTGTTGCACGATTGCACGATTTATTAAATTTTTACAGGAAAAAATAAGCCATTTCTTTACTTAACATTGTAGAAAATATGATTTTTTTTTGCTTAATTTGATTTTTTAAGGTAAATTATAAAGCTAAAATAATTTAATTCTTTTTATTTACGTTATTATATTAAGCAAAACACTATTTTAGTAACTTATTCCATCAATAAAATAAAGATTAACTGTATTTAGTATCATTTGACATGATTCTGTTGCTCGAGGCTCATGGTATTCAAAATTTACCACAATCAAGCAATTTTCTTTAAAGAGCCCGTAAAAATCTTCTTTCCATGTTTAAAGTTTCACAGTTTCGGTGCAATCTTAATAGATACAAAATATACTAACCGTGCCTTTATTAGTACATATGCTTATTAAAATTGCACCAATTACCATAATACCAAAAGTTCCTGTTACAAAATTAATTAAGCAACATTGGAGTGAATAATAGTATGGCGAATTTAACCTTTCTTCTAAACGAATTAATTCTATTTCTCCATTAATTTTCTTTTTAGTGCATAACTTATTTTCAATTCACTTTTTTAAATTTCAAATACAGTTGAATTTCAAGCATTTAATTTTGTATAAACACTTTTTTAAAGCACAACTATAAACAAAATGAACACGTGGCTTCAGACAAGTAAGGGAATACTAATTTGGTGATGTAGTCCGTATATTCTACCAAGTTTAAATTGATCATTGAGTAGAGCTGACATGACGAATTAAAAAAAAGTAAAAGACGAGCGTGCATCGAGCGAGCAAATGATTAATAATAACTATAAGCTGGCAAACATCACTGATGTTATTGCTTAAATATTTGAAGAAAAGAAAAAAAAAACAGAATAATCTGCAGTTTTATTTTAATCAAAGTCTAGTTCTGAACCAATTAAAAATTTCCTTTTTTAAACGTCTCTCCTTTACGATCCAATTGAAATTTTTAACGATTTTGGACAGGTAAAAGGGTATTTAACGGGGGTTTCACCCGCTCTCCAATTTTTTGGATGATAGAGCAAACGGTTCTGGTGCTATAATAGGAGAGAAATAGACACAGACTAATTCTTTATTTTTTAATTATAGATTTTACTTGTTTTTAGTTTTGTCTTATTCAGTTTCGCCAATAAGAGGTCAAAACTGTAATTGAGAAATTTTTCCTGCATCATTTAAGAAACTGGTATAGCTTGTATTGTCTTCAAGCACTGTAAAAATTTAACTATTCTAGCTTGCCGGAAAGGGATCAGAAGTTTGATTGAAGATAAACTCTGTTTAGCAATAAAATAACAATAAATTCTATTTGACGATAAATTGACAACAATTCGCGGTCAGGAGACTATAGAACTTTGTATCGTCAATGGAAAACAGAATTGCGGATTAAATTCAATCACTCCTGCTAGCCAGAGAGTGGTCGAGAATTCAATTGCAACATTTTATTGTCACAGAAACGAAAGTGAGTTGATAAAAGCCTAGTATCATGTAAAGGTATATTTCGTAAAAATAAGGCCTCTAGAAAGAGAAATAAGAGTTTTTAGGAAGAGAAAAGTGCTGTATTTGTATTACTGAAAGGACATGGAGGTAAATAACTTGACAGATACTGGTTGATGTTTCATTTGAGTTTATTCTTGCTATTGATTTATATTAATGGATCGATTGATTCGAAAACTATATCGTATGATTTATTTTATTTTGTAAATCTCAAAGCTATTGTGATTACATTATGTAATTTTAAGATCTATTGTGTTAAAACAATCTGGATGATTAAACTATTGTTTGTAAAATAATTCATTGTGTTTGGAGTAATTTTAAGTGCTACTTAAGCAAACGAATGAACCTTAAAACTTTTTTTTATGGATTTAAATTAAAAAAATCTATTTTCCTTCTATTTACATTTCACTCCTACTTTTTTTTGCTTTTTTAAAAATTTTTACCCTAACTCGCACATTTTTCTTTAATACTTAATCCGAATATCTTTTATTAGGTCCTGCACATTGAATATAATAAATTTTTTTCATTTTTTTAAATTATCTAGTAATAATTAATGTAATGTTTAACATTACGATAACTGAATAATTTATAAAAATGTTAAATAAAATAATATATATCTTTAAAATGTACATATAAGTTCAGTTGCTTAAAATTATCCCCTGAGGGGGTTTACCTTCTTTAGGTAAATACAGGGAGTCACGCCCCGGGGTACCCTAGTGATCTATCCTCCCTTTTGTTTCCTCTCCCTTTTCTCCTACTTTCTCCTTTCTCTTCCCCATTGTCGTGGTTGCCGAATTTACTGGTAAGGGCTTGTCATCTGTGTTCGATTACCACCCTGTTGTATCGAACCCAGATGGGAAGAAACCACCCACGTGTTTGCCGTGCGTGGAGACCCGTGTCCCTGGAAAAGGGGATCCTGGCAGTTGAGGGGCATCTTGGTACCCCAATACACTGCTTTGGCCCGTGCTTCAGGTAAACGGGTGGTGCATATTGGCCTGTCTGCATCAATCGGCTGGTGACAATCGTCATCTGTTGACTAGGGTCAAGACCGGGGTCACCTACTGGGCACTTCGTTAAGGGTGGAGGCTGCCTCAGGGGTGACTCAAGGTCGTATAACTATTGGTCAGCATCGGTGTTAAGTAACAGATTCCACTCTGTTACTTGCATCCCCTTGGTTGGACTCCGTGGTGGGTGATGCCGCTGGTAGTCGAAATGATTTTTTTAATTTTCTATGGCTGAAAGTAGCAAGATGTTCAGTTCCGCACACCAAAACAAAAACAGCGGAACAATCTCCTCACCGTTTGAATACGCTCGATTCTACATCATAACGCTCACGAACCCTGAAGTACCCAACACTTCATTTACCAAAGTCTGGCCGTTTCTGATTCACAAGGCTCTTCTCTCAATACTGGAAGAAGTAGCCTCGGTGAAAAAGTTAAGCTCGGGTGACCTTTTAGTTGAGGTCTCCCAAAAACAAGCTACTATCTTAACTAAATGTACCAATATCTGCTCCTTCCCTGTTACAGTATCGCCTCATAAGACTCTTAACACCTCTCGAGGTGTCATATCACAATCTGAATTCCTCGATGATGCAGAGGAAACAATTGTGGGAAATTTAACCGACCAACATGTTACTGCTGTCCGTAGGATCAAGATTAGGAGGGATGGGAAACTCATTCCAACGAAACATCTGATCCTTACTTTTGACACACCGAAATTACCATCTTCGGTTAAGCTTGCCTGGCATAACTGCCCTGTACGACCATATGTGCCAAACCCATTAAGGTGCTTTCAGTGCCAAAGGTTTGGACACTCTAAAGTATCTTGTCGTAGCAAGCCCATTTGTTCTGGATGCTCTGGATCTGACCATGATGACACTGACTGTGAGTTGCCACCCCTCTGCATTAACTGCAAGGGTGCTCACCCTGCATACTTCAGGAGTTGTCCAAAATGGTCCCAAGAGAAAGAGATACAAAGTGTCAAAGTATTGCAAAACGTGACGTTCGATGAAGCCCGCCGAATAGTAACCACCCCCACTCCTCATCCGGGTGTGTCCCATTCTGCGGCTGCCAAGACTTTATTTTGCTCTGTCAGTTCGCAAGCGGACCTTCCACCTTTGCCCTCTACCTCTCATCACCAGACTAAAACTACAGTCCAGAAACCAAAATTCAATTTTAATACACCATCAACATCAAATAGAACAACATCTCCTCCTCCTAAGAAAACTTCTAAAATTGATAACGCAGAAAAAGTCCGACCATTCCCCAAACAGCTTCCAACAACAAAAATACCTCAAACTAAAAAACCTGGCATAACTCGGAAGAAAAAAGACCCAAAATACGTCAATCAATCCACTTCTTCTACTCAGAAGATGGATTTAGACGTAGAATTATCTCTTCTTCCTTCCGACTATGAATTTCTACCAGACTAACCGAAAACTTTCGACGTTAAAACACAACTAAATCCATCCATTTCATAATGTCAATAAATTTTATTTCATGGAACTGCCGTGGCCTTAGAAACAAGCTCTCTGATATTAAAGATATCATCTGTAAATATCAACCTGCATGCTTTGCACTGCAAGAAACTCTTTTAACGTCTCATAATTTTAAATTGCGCAACTATTCTTGCTCCCGGCATGACTTCGATGGTGGAAATCATCCTCATGGCGGTGTTGCAATTTTAACATGTAATGCATTTCCATCTACTCATCTTACTTTATTAACCTAATTACAGGCTACCATAGTTCAAATTCACATCAATGTTCTCATTACAGTCTGCTCTGTCTATCTACCTCCTCGTGCATCCATCTCTCAAACAGATTTGAACTCACTGATAGTTCAGTTACCTTCGCCTTTTATTTTGCTCGGAGATTTTAATGGTCATAGTGAATTGTGGGGTAGTTCCGCCTCCAATGACCGGGGGCGTNTAAATTTTTACAGGAAAAAATAAGCCATTTCTTTACTTAACATTGTAGAAAATATGATTTTTTTTTGCTTAATTTGATTTTTTAAGGTAAATTATAAAGCTAAAATAATTTAATTCTTTTTATTTACGTTATTATATTAAGCAAAACACTATTTCAGTAACTTATTCTATCAATAAAATAAAGATTAACTGTACTTAGTATCATTTGACATGATTCTGTTGCTCGAGGTGAACTCATGGTATTCAAAATTTACCACAATCAAGCAATTTTCTTTAAAGAGCCCGTAAAAATCCTCTTTCCAAGTTTAAAGTTTCACAGTTTCGGTGCAATTGTAATAGATACAAAACATAATAACCGTACCTTCATTAGTACATATGCTTATTAAAATTGCACCAATTACCATAATACCAAAAGTTCCTGTTACCAAAATTAATTAAGCAACATTGGAGTCAATAATAGTATGGCGAATTTAACCTTACTTCTAAACAAATTAATTCTTTTTCTCAATTAATTTTCTTTTTAGTACATAACTTATTTTCAGCTTATTTTTTTAAAATTTCAAATACAGTTGAATTTCAGGCATTTAATTTTTATAAACACTGTTTTTTTAAAGCACAGCTATAAACAGAATGAACACGCGGTTTCAGACTGGTAAGGGGATGCTAATTTAGTGACGTAGTCCGAATATTCTACCAAGTTCACGTTGGTCATTGAGTAAAGCTGACATAACGAATAAAAAAAAAAGTAAATGAAGAACGGGCATCGAACGAGTAAATGATTAATAATAATAACTATAAGCTAGCAAACATCACTGGTGTTATTGCTTAAATATTTGAAGAAAAGAAAAAAAGCGGAATCTTCTGCAGTTTTATTTTAATCAAAGTCTAGCTCTGAACCAATTAAAAATTTTCTTTTTTGAACGCCTCTCCTGTACGATCCAATTGAAATTTTTAACGATTTTGGACAGATAAAAGGGCTAATTTTAACGGGGGTTTCACCCGCTGTCCAATTTTGTGCTATAATAGAAACACACAGACTAATTCGTTATTTTATTATTATAGATTTTACTTGTCTTCAGTTTTGTCTTATTTAGTTTCGCCAACAAGGTGTCAAAATTGTAATTGATAAATTTTTCCTGCATCATTTAGGAAACTGTTATAGCTTGTATTGTCTTCAAGCACTACACTCCAGTAAAAATTTAACTATTCTAGCTAGCCGGAAAAGAATCGGATGTTTGATTGAAGATAAACTCTGTTCAGCAATAAAATAACAATAAATTCTGTTTGACGATAAATTGACAACAATTCGCGGTCAAAAGACGACGGAACTTTGTATCGTCAATGGAAAACAGAATTGCGGATTAAATTCTATCACTCCTGCTAGCCAGAGAGTGGTCGAAAATTCAATTGCAACATTCTATTGTCACAGAAACGAAAGTGAGTTGATAAAAACCTAGTATCATATAAAGGTATATTTCGTAAAAATAAGGCTTCTAGAAAGAGAAATAAAAGTTTCTAGGAAGAGAAAAGTGCTGTATTTGTATTACTAAAAGAACGCGGAGGTAAATAACTTGACAGATACTGATTGATGTTTCATTTGAGTTTATTCTTGCTATCGATTGATATTAATGGGTCAATTAATTAAAAAATTACATCGTATGATTTATTTTATTTTGTAAATCTCAAAGTTATTGAGATTACATTATGTAAGTTTAAGATCTATTGTGTTAAAACAAGCTGGATGATTAAACTATTGTTTATAAAATAACTCATTGCGTGTGGAGTACTTATAAGTGCTACTCAAGCAAACGAATGAACTTTAAAAGTTTTTTTTATGGATTTAAAATAAAAAAATCAACTTTCCTTCTATTTACAATTTACATTTGTTTTTTTAATAAGTTTTGTTTTATATTTTTTATCCTCACTTGCACATTTTTTTATACTTAATCCGAATTTCTTTTATTAGGTCCTACACATTGAATATACTAAATTTATTTCAACTTTTTAAATAAATTATATAGTAATAATTAACGCATCGTTTAACATTATGATAACTGAATAATTATAAAAATTTTAAATAAAGTAATACATATATTTAGGTAAAAATATACTTGAGTGCCCCTTGGTGAAATTGGCGACTTATGTTTGGCACCATTCCTGTTTGCGCGGAACACCGTGGTAACAGGAATGACGGCCAACACATAATGATATTTCAATAAAACATTGGAAAATTTCAACAAAACATCGGCCAAAACTTTATAAAATTGNTAGATGATATTCATCATCCCAACATTTTCGCATTTCTGCGAGCTATTGGTATTATATATTGTATATAACTGTTTTATCTGATTTTATTCACTCTTATTTCCTACTTATGAATCATTTTACCTTTTCTGTGTATTTTATAGAATTATGCTTTTTAATGATTTTTATGAACTTTTAAAAATACGTGTCTTGAGATAAACAATTCTATTACTTTCATTTATTTTATGACAATGAAACTATTGTGTGCAATTTACCATTAGATCTAACTCAACAAATTGTTTGGCGCAGCATATCCTCCTTTGGATCTTGTGCCATAAAACTTCTACATTCAATCCAATCCAATGATTAAAATTATCTAGGTAATTATTGTTATAAAACTAAGAATTTGAACCATGCATTTCATCTGATTTTATTCACTTACATATACCATTTTATCAAATTTCATTTCACGATAATTTAAGTGTAACATGTATTTTAGTTTTGATCTATTTTATCATATTGTTTGGAGCAGCATGTCTTCTTAAAAAGCTTTAAAAAGCTTCTTAAAACTTTGTTCAAAGTTTAAAGAAACTTTGTGCCATTGCATTCTATATTCAATTCAGTTCAATTTTACCTTAAGAACATCTATTCAGACATTCCAATCCGCTAAGCTGATTTGATATTCTTATGTAGATTCGCCAGGGTCTTCTTCTTGTTCTTTTTCCGTCAGGTGTGTCGCAAAACGTGCTCAAGTACACTCCATCTGTACTTCAAAATTTCGAAATTTTGTCAACACTTGCTCTTTTTTAGAAGATTTTCATATTGTAAACTATCCCAAACATGCATATATATTCCATTAAAATATGCTAGACAAGAGATGTGAAAAAATGCTGGATAAGTTAGATTATTAGATGTGATTCACTTAAAGTAAGAACGCAAACAAATAGACTAGCATCTTCTTCAGTTTTCCTTCTCTTTTTTTTTAAATAAAACTTAAATGTAAGCTGTTATAATGAGAATTCAGAATAACAAAAAGATGATGTGTCAAAATTATGGCTGGTTTACACTTGTTGATATATATTAAAATTTCAAAAAAGTATTAAAAATTTTTATTTCTTTTTTCAAAACTTCGTTTCCTCTTTTAATATTTCAATACCCTTTTCAGTATTCAGTATTTTAGTTTGTCAGTGTTCATGAAGTGTCTGAAGTCCCAGATAAAGAGCTTTTTCTCCTTTACTGAAAACGTGCTTTGAGTTTATTTAAAAGTATACGGGCTGAACTATCAAAAACATTTTTGCAATTACACACGGTCTAGACAGCTTTAAGTCTGTTGAACGCTGTTTATTTACGCAACTTTGTAGAGATTAGAGTCACTTATGACATATGCATCTTTAATAATTCAAGATATCGCAAGTAATGTAATAGTTGCGAAATTTTATGAAATTTGGCGAATGGAGTTTGTTATTCAAAATAATTTATCGAAGTAGGAATTATATTTGTATTATATATGGAGCCATATCATTTTGTTTTGCAGTTTAAAACAAATTACAGAAATAATAACGTATTTAAAATATTATTTTACTGCCTAAAACAAGTGTTCAACTTCAACTATTAGATGTACCGTATACAAACTTAATGCTTAATTGATTTCATTCGTTCAACAGTGTTTTATATTCTGAATGGTGGAGGACAATAGTTGCAAAAGCTTGTTTCAACTTCTGGTAGAAGATTCGCTTCGATTTATTTCGATTTTTTTGTTTTGTTTACATAATCTTTTGACTTAATTTTTAATATAATCATAAGTTTTAAAACTAAAAAAATTTGTTTGCAAGTGGAGGCAGTTGTTCTGCTTTTAGGTGCACTTTGCGCTGAAGCATTAATTTGTCATCTGAAATCAAGACGTTTAAATTGTCAGTATCCATCACGCCAAATTGGATGGAGTAATGCATTAAAGTGGAAAGTGGGGAGAAAAGAAATAGTCACGTTTTGCTATGACGTCACTGGAGGACAACAAGATTTCCTGTTGATTTTCTTTTTATCTTTTTTTTTTCTTAGGATAGATAGTGAATAAAAGATATCGGATTTAATAATTAGATTTAGTTATTCGATTAAGTTTGTTGTTTCCATCTTAAGCTAGTCCTTTAACATAGATATCGATTTTAACCTATTTTAAAGCGTGGTATAAATTTATCTAACTCAATCCTCAATCCTCCTAGAAAATTATCTAACTCAATCATCCAACGATTCAATTTTTATAAC